CACACACACACACACACACACACACACACACACACACACACACACACGCGCGCTCGCGCGTGCGCCTCAGTATGGCTGGAGAGCTGGTTCAGTGATTATGAGAATGGTTACCCTTCCAGAGGACCTGGGTTAGATCCCCAGCACCCACATGACAACTCACAACTATCTCAACTCCAGTCCCAAGAGGATCTGATGCCTTCTTCTGGCCTCTGCAGGTACTACATACACATAAGCACAGAGACATACATGTAGACAAAACACTCATACACATAAAATAAAAACAAAGATTAAAATTCTAAAAAAAGTACAAGGCTATTCTCAATTGGAAACATCAATATTAATTCCTTTTTTGGGGGGAGGGGTATATTTTTCGAGACAGGGCTTCTCTGCGTATCCTTGGCTCTCCAGGAATTCACTCTGTGGATCAGACCTGCCTGTCTCTTCCTCCTAAGTGCTGGAATTAAAGGTGTGCACCATCACTGCCTATTTTCAGTATTAGTTCTCTAATCTAGTTTTTGTGGTATTTCCCAGTTTTATTCACTAAAAAGAGCAACAGGCAGTGACTTACTAGTGAACATACCTATGACTAGGAATCAGGCCTGCTGAGCAATGGTGGCATGCATCTTAAATCCCAGCACTTGGGAGGTAGAGGAAAGCGGATCTCTGTGAGTTGGAAGACAGCCTGATCTACAGAGTGAGTTCCAGGACGGCCAGGGCTAAATGGTGAGACCCTGTCTTAGAAAAAAAGATAAAAACAAAAAAACAAAACCAAAAAACAAAACCACAACAAAGAAATCAGGGTTTCCAGGAGAAAGGCACAGGCAGGCTCAGCCAGAGCTTCGTGAATTTCAGCTGCTGGGAGGCAACTGAGCACTTTAACCCTATAATGGGATTTGCGCTGGCTGAAGGGTCCCCCAGTCAAAGATGGGACAAGAACAAAAAAGTAACCGATATAAACATCCATGTTTTCACAGATTTTTTTGTTTCTGTTTTTTTGAGACAGGGTTTCTCTGTGTAACAGTCTTGGCTGTTCTGGAACTCGTTCTCTAGTCCAGGCTGACCTTGAACTCACAGAGATTCACCTGCCTCTGCCTCCAGAATGCTGGGATTAAAGGTTTGCGCCACCACTGCATGGTAACATATTATTTAAATGAAAAAACAAAAACAGAAAAAGGACAGTTTTCCAATAATAGGACTACCAAAGGAGAATGAGTTACATGCTCTTAGAGTAATAGCAGTGAAGCTGCAGAAGGCACAGTGGGAAGCAGAACTGAATGTGCCAATTCTTTTTTTTTTTTTGAAAATGGGGGCAAAGTTTTTCTGCATTCCTGTATCAAGTATCTGAGACTTTACTGCCCAGGTTCGCAGAGAATGACTCCATCTAATAAGGAACAAGAATCCATATGCATTCAGAAGCCCCTATTTTGCACACCACCAATGGCTTCCTGGGAACTGGTTCTTACTTTGCACTACAAGTGGCAATCCAAGGCCATGCTGTAAAGTACTGTATCGAAACTGCACGCAGGTCAGAGCACTGGCATTTCTGCTAAGCAGCTCTCTCCTACATATTTCAGAACCTTACACACTGAACCTTAAGAGCTAAGACTAGACCGAGTGATGTGAAGGACCAATCCACAGCTAATTAGAACAAGTGGGAATGCTTACAATGAGATGGGGTAGAAGGGCTGGGGGGCTGGGTGTTAGACACTGACATGAAACATCTGGTTCCTCCCTAAGGAAAGCACTGATTTTGCCAGCGACCAGAAAACTGGCACACTAAATTACTAGCAGTTTCAAATAAAGGAAGCAAGAAGAGTAGGGCAAGGAACTACAGAAATATAACATGCAGTAACCTGATGACTATGATCCATTTCCAAAACAAGTCAGCTGTAGAAGTGCATGCCTGACTCAACCAGGACCAGTTGAATTATATATGTTAACAGGGAGCTATTATTTACAAATACATAAATTAAGGAAAGACAAGGTGGTGCCCTGGCTGCTTAAGGAAGCTGAATAAGCTTTAGAGTGTACAACACCTCAGTGACGGGGTGCCACGATGATAGCATTTACTTTTAATCTTCAGCAACAACAACAAAAAACTACATGTGTTTATGACAAAATCCTGTTACCCACAGGAACTGAACGAAGGATAAACACTAGTCCCTAATGACTCCCACCTCCATGACAACTCCTGTTCATCTCTGTCATCTTACTGGTTGGAGATGACCTTAACCTGGCTCCCTGGGCTATTCTGAAATTCAAGATCCTGCCTCAGCCCTGTGAGTGCCACATGCAACATCATGATACCACAAACAAAATAATCCACACACAGTAATAACCCACAAACAAAATAAATCTCTTCTAAAACTTCAATTTAGATTTCGGGTTGAAATTTTCAAAATTAATTCTTTGGGAAAAAATACCAAACAGGCTCATCAGTTCAGAGTGTCTGATGCCCATACAGAGGATCAGGGTTCAGTTCCTTGTGTGCAAATGGCAG